TATGGGAGTGCGTGGGATCACAAAGAGCCTAGATTTAATAAGCCACCTATAGGCCTTGTACGAAAGGATATTAAAAGTCTACAAAGCTAGCTACAGGGAGTGTCTTAATATATACCTATCCTAGTTAGGTCTAAATTCGGATCCGACCTCGGGCGAATGGCTGATGAAGGGCGGCAGGTACTTCCTCCGATCCGGCTCTGGGATTGGCTCAATACTTGGCGAAGTTGTAACATCGTTACACTTTCCTCACACCCTTTTGAAGGCACTCTTACTATTACTATAACTACTACCTACTTATTTAGCTAATACTTTTTATACTTTACCTATAGTAAGAGTCTCTTCTATTTATATATATCGCCGCTTGTGGCTTTTATACTTATTTAACTTATTAAGAGCTACTTAAAGTGTACCTATTTCCTCCATCATAAGGGTCATTTTATGTGCCATTTGCTAGGCCCCCTTACTCAGCTACGCGATCTACTTAGTAAGTGAATTAGCAGAAGACCCACGGCGTTTTCTCACGCTCTCTTAAATGAGACTAATTTAAGACTTAACTTCGCGCGCGTTGCGTGGTGTCTGCGCCTGCCAGGCAGCTACCTGTTGCGGTGATTGTACAGGTGTCTGCACCACCACATCAAGCTTAGATAGTACAGCCTGTGGGTCGTGTGGGACTAGACTAGCGCCTCTAAAGCCAGCTTGGATATTCTCCTTTGTGATAGACTGCTCAAAGGCAGTCTTAAAGGCTGGTAGGAAGGTCTCTTTGCTGATATAGTGGGTGCGGTTGCGTGCCAAGCCTGAAATAGCGTCGCCATACTTGCGCTTTAACGGCGAGAAGCAGGCGATGTTAAGGGGCTGCAACAGGTGAGACGAGTGCGCAGGCATGCAGAGAAGCACAATATTCTTCTCCTTGCAAAGATCTTGGAAATCGACAGAGCAGTGGCTCTTATGGCCATCAATAATAAGCAGTCAATACCCACCCACAGTAGAGCTCTTTGTATGGGTATCAAAGTGCTCTAACCAGGCAAGACCAAGCTAATTATTCGTCCAGCTATTGGGACTAACTTTAAGAACCTAGTTGGTAGGCAAATCCTTAAACTAGACGTTGATAAGCACCTTGCCCGCAAAGACAACGAAGGGTGGTATTCGGCGACCTAACGCGCCCACGCCTTAGATCACAGTAACCCACTCACGGTTGCCTGGCTGTATCCGCTTCTTTTTCCTATATCCTTCTAATGCTATAATAACTAACTATGATAAAATCTTGCCTATTATAAAGCCAGTCTCGTCAAAGTTGTAGATATCGTCGTCCACAATACCCCACTTCTGCCTTGTCGCCTGGACTAAGTCGAACCAGCGCTGGATAGCCACTAGATCCTCGCAGGCGGCTCGCTGGTGATTATAGGGACGGCTCTAGCGCGTACGGAGCTCAGGAGTCCGCTTAACGAAGTTGTCAACCTAGTTCTTGCCAACAGGGTTGCCACCACGCTCCTCTAATAGTTTATTAGCTATTACTTGAACGTCAAGCTTTGTAGGCGCAAATCCTTGCGTAGACTCTTTAAGAATACGCTTAACTATAGCCTCCTCTTCTAGCTTATCTAGACGCTTCGATTTTGGCTCGCAGTCGCGTTAAGGGCGCTTTCTAGCGCGTTGATCAGATAGAGTTCTTTGTGGGACGTTGTAGATAGTAGCAGCACGGTTTACACTCTAAACACGTTGCAACTAGACGTTAAAAAGAGCAAGTTAAAGATTAGATTTAGAATATATTAATAGACAGTTGCGTTGTTGAGACATCACGCGTTATAGTGATGAAGTTGATGGGCTGGTGGGGCGTTAGCGACTCGCTTGGGTTAGCGACTTACTTGTGAACCACGTTATGCATCTAAATATAATAATATGATTATTATTGTATCTACAGGCGATAATAGTGCTGCAAAGTTGAAGTACCTGCAATTTTGCCTATTACGGCGGTTGTTCCGTTACAAAGGGATGTACGTTGATTATTCCATGAGTGATTTCAACGTTGTGACGTGGCGGCTTTCACAGTGCAACTATATGAGTGCTTGTATACTCGTAACAGGGCTAGAAGGGGTTTATCCTAATATTAACAAGCAAAATAGGATTTAACGTAAAGGGATTTAAAGGGTTTTGTTGGTAAGTCTTGGCAGTACAAAGGTGGCTTTCAAAAGTTCTTGCTAAGGCGCGGATCTATTAGACCGAATTCTCGTGATAACGTTTCTATTATTTACTTAGCGTGCAAGAAATAATGCCTAATATAGTTAGTGTATTACTGTAAGTGTATACTTTAGTAGCTATCATTCTCTCCAAACTTCTATTTTAAGGGCTTTTAGTTGCGAATATAGTATAATTCTTAGTCTTCAGCTATATTTTCGGTAGTAACCAAGGAACCCCTGTTAGCAAGAACTTTTGAAAGCCACCTTTGTAGTTATTAATCCTTTATAGATTGTATGTAGATGCGACAATATCTAGATTAGACCTTGGAAAAGCAGCATCTAATACACTAGAACGAGGAAAATGCTACACATATCATTCACCATCCTCTATACATTGGTATTTATTGCCCATAGGAGTGCAGTAGCTACCCTGGCAACAGCCACCAGGTTGATTAGAAGGAATGCCAAATGTACAGTCGAAGTTTGAAGCTATGAAATATCAGCATGCTCCTCACCAACCACAGCTGCGGTATTCTACACTTACCCGAAATACAACCAGGTTTTGGTATTGGATACCGAGGACGGGGGGTGGGTTTGGCATGACGGTTTCGAGCTTCCCGTGGTGCTTGCGCATATTCTTAGTATAAGTAGTTTGGTTTGTGCTGGAGAGAGCTGGCCCATGATAAGACTTACGCGCAGCAGCTGCCATGGCGACGCAAATCAGCGGCAGAAGCACGGACAACTTCATGGTTGCCGAGGTATGCAGGCCTAGCAGAGTTGTTGTATACTAAGCTGTACTTGCAATTGTCTAATCTCTTTAATAGCGTATGAAAAAAAAACCAAGTTTGCAACTGAGTAATCTTATGCGAGGCCAAGGCATGGCGAGAAGGCCTTTATATTCACCGACCGTAGCAGCGAGAGCTCACGTCAATCGCAGGTTACTTTGTACTCTCAAACTCTAAGTAAGCCCAGGCCAAAAAAAAAACCAACTCCCTAGTACGTAGTTTTGTTTCTGGTGCCCCATAGGTAAGCGAGCCGTTGATCAGCTTATCTCACATAAGATGACACTCCTTCTCTTTTTTGATACAGAGGTGGCTTTCAGTCCAATAGGTCCGCGCCTTAGTAAGAACTTTTGACAGTCACCTCCGTAAATTCTTTATCATACTGTAGGTGGTCAGTGCTTGCAACTGTTTAGCGGATGCAACACCCTACTAAAATTAGTGCTTTACTAAAGATAAGGCTATAGAGCCTTATATAAAAGCTACTATTATAAGATTTTCTAGTAGAGTATTAAGTAAGTAGTAATATATATTTATATTTATATATATCTTGCTAGTAACTTTATATTATAGCTATAAGTAGTAGTTTTAGTACAAGGCTAAGTAGGTTGTAGTATAACTCTATTACTACTCTTATAGCCTACCATATAATAATATCTTACTATTTGTATATTTTATAATAATAAAGCTTTTTATTGAAGTATACTTTACTTATTATAAAAATTTTTATTATTATAGTAAGCTAATCTTATTCCTTTTAAGCGCGTATAGTAGTAAGTTATATAGCCTTAGCTTTTTATTTCTTCTTATAAGTAACTTTCATAATTTCTTATACTTATTTTACTTTTATAGCTATTTTTTTTATACTAAATAGTAGCTTTTTATATATTTTTTTTAAAGTTTTTTTACCTCTTCTTCTTAGTGTAATATAGCCTAACGCGCTTAAGCTTTCTATACTACTTAAAAGCTCTATACTACTACAAAACTCTAGTACTCCTAGTATTATTAAAGGTTAAAAACTTCACTATACTTTAGCTTTTATTTTTTAGTACTAATTGTACTATAAAGTTTATTAATCTTAATATAAAGAAGCTTATGATTAACTTATAGAAAATATAAAGCTTAGTAGAGCTCTTTAGCTATAGCTATTAACTTATCTAGTACTGTAATATTAAATAATCTTAATAGCGTACGCTAGCTATCCCTATCTTTTACCTCTCTACTTTTTTAGTTATTATTTTATTATAATATAGTAGTTTTAAATTATTTAAGCATAACTTTTAAATTATAAAGATAAAGCTTCGTAGCTATAGAAGTACTTAGAATATTATTAGTAGTAAAGGTAGATATATATACTACCTAAAATGAGTAGAAGAAATTACTTTTCTATATTTAAAGTAATACTTAGCTATAGTATATAAACTTTAATAGCTTTTTAAAGTATACTACTAATAGTAGCTTATATAATACTACATTCGAAGGCTATATAGTATAAGTAGCGTAAAGTAGAAATATTAAAAGTATTATTTCATAAAAGTAATAATATTCAATAAACTCAAGTAAGACATAGCTATTATAGCTATTAAAAATAAGTATTAAGTAATGATATTTAGCTGTTAACGTGGTTCACAAGTGAGTCGCTAACCTAAGCGAGTTGCTAACGCCCTATCACTACATCTACATCAACACGCTATTATAGTTTTCTCTTATAGTTAATAAACTATGATAATATACTAAATTAATTATTAGAATCGCTACTATTACTTACACTATTTATCTTACTTACGCAGGTATAAGCGTTGTGTCTAGTCTACTTGTAACGCCCGCACCGCTGCTCTCTTCGCACCCTCTTTAACGCACTCTTACTATTACTATAACTACTACCTACTTATTTAGCTAATACTTCTTATACTTTACCTATAGTAAGAGTCTCTTCTATCTATACGTATTGCTGCTTATAGCTTTTACGCTTATTTAACTTATTAAGAGCTACTCAAAGCGTACCTATTTTCTCTATTATAAGCGTTATTTTATATGCTATTTACTAGGCCCTCTTACTTAGCTACGCAATCTACTTAGTAAGTAAAATAGTAGAAGACTTATAGCGTTTTCTTACACTCTCTTAAATAAGACTAATTTAAGACTTAACTTTGCGCACGTTGCGTGGTGTCTACGCCTACTAGGCGGCTACCTATTGCGGTGATTGTATAGGTGTCTACACTACTACATTAAGCTTAGATAGCACAGCCTATAGGTTGTGTAGGGCTAGACTAGCGCCTCTAAAGCTAGCTTAGATATTCTCTTTTGTGATAGACTACTTAAAAGTAGTCTTAAAGGCTAGTAGGAAGGTCTCTTTGCTAATATAGTAGGTGTGGTTACATGCTAAGTCTAAAATAGCGTCGCTATACTTGCGCTTTAATAGCAAGAAGCAGGCGACGTTAAGAGGCTATAATAGGTAAGACAAGTGCGTAGGTATGTAGAGAAGCATAATATTCTTCTCTTTACAAAGATCTTAGAAATTAATAAAGTAGTAGCTCTTATAGCTATCAATAATAAGTAGTTAATACCTACCTATAGTAGAGCACTTTGTATGGGTATCAAAGTGCTCTAACCAGGCAAGACTAAGCTAATTATTTGTCTAGCTATTAAGACTAACTTTAAGAACCTAGTTAGTAGGCAAATTCTTAAACTAGACGTTAATAAGCACCTTGCTTACAAAGATAATAA